ATAGTGCAAAATCCAATCAGAAAGAAACATGGTTAGAGAATCAATTTCATACCAGGTACTATCTATCAAATCATACCTGCTAAAAACAAAAGCTCTATGTTAAGCTTAGTCCAGTGTCCTGAGCTGAACATGGTTAATTACTAATATCCTAAGTTGCATAAATCCAAGGACTTGTATCCAGTTGTCATACGGGAGTGCCAGTGAATCTGAATTCCTGCAAAATGGGATTGGGGAGCTAGGAAGATAAGATAATTTTGGTTGGTTGGTTGGCTTGGTTTGGTTTTCATTCCATCTCCAGTCTAGATATTTCTCCTTGTCACCAGGCATGGTGGCAAATTGCTGTGCAGCACTCTGGAGGCTGAGCAGGATGACTGCAAGTTCAAGCAGAGTACTGAAAAAAAGTACTCTTCATCAAAGAAGAATAATTTTGCTTTTTAGCTGAAATGAGCAAGGATGCACAACAGAAAGGGAATAAGAAAAACATTCAAGAAAAAAAGATATTTAATAAAATGCCAGAGCTTCCTAAAACAAAATAAATCTATTTCCTGTGAAAGAATAGTTCAGTGGAATAGAAAGAAATGATAATGCCCTTCCCTTAAATATCATAGCAGTTTGAACTTTTGTAAATCCAGAGATTGAAGCTCTTATTGGTTAATAAGTTCCTGGTTTTTAGGAAGAGAAAAAAGAGGCCAGCTTGTGTGGTGGTGCATACATCTAATTCCATCACTGTGGGAGGCTGAAGCAAGAGGACCACAAGTTCGATCCCAGCCTGGAAGCTCAGCAAGACTTTGTATGAAAAAAAAAAAATAGGTGTAGTTCACTATGAAGGTTCTGGATTCAATGCTCAGTAACAGAGACAGACGTACAGACATACACGCATGCACAGAGGCAGAGAGACAGAGACAGAGAGACAGAAACAGGCAGAGATGAGAAAGACAGAGATAGAGGGAGAATCTAGCAAAAATTAGGATAGATTTAAGAACCATATGAGAGAAGCTATTAAATGTATAAAATGTACCCTTGAAGATAAGAGCCTAGAAAGATGTTCACTCAACTTCCTCCCAGTTGCTTGGTAGTACGTGGTTGGAAAATAATAACAGAATTCCAATTCTGGCATTGATAGTTGCATACATTTTTGATTAATTTTTACTATAAGCTACATAGATTCTCCTTTATTTTAAACTTCTTGAGTGCTACATTAAGCTCCGCCCAGAACAGAAGGACATATTAGTTTGACCAAGTGAACCTCTTCTTTAAAGTTCAGTCAAAATAAACCAAAAGGAGTAAGTATATTAGATAAGCACTTGGCCTCATATATGCAATGGGCCTCATCTCTGGGATTTGCTTCTATGAAACTGCAATTGCATGTAGGGCTGGAACAATTTATACAAGTTTCTAATGCCTCAACATTTCATTTCTTATGGCTACATTCCCAGATCTGGGATTGCTGGATCATGTAGTAATTCTGTTTCATATTTTGAGGAATCATTATATCATTTCACCCACTGGCTTCATCATTTTATCTTCCAAAGAATGGTGCACAAGGATCTAAGATTCTCCACATATTTGCCAACACTTGTTATTTGCTGGTTTTCATAAAATCAGAATTGTATCTGTTTTCATTATCATTTCTTGATGACACGGGAATATTTAATAAAGCTAATGCAAATTTAAATATTAATACATGGTTATAATAATTTAAACATTATCCTGTATAATTCAGTTATTTGTATGTTATTTATTTGATGAGTCGTGGAACTTTTATTCTATTAACAACTTTTAACCTGAACTTTGAAAACTGACATTGTCATCTTGGTTCTACCACAGGGCACCATCTATCTTATGTGCAGTAGATTAGTTCCTTTTATATTTAAAAACAAAGAAGATAATTTATGACTTATTCACAAATTAGTCTAAGTGTCAAATGAGTTAATCAACTTAAAATGTCGGAATACTTCAAAAGGATTTATTTAAGGGATTATCATTGTGTTTGTAATATACATCAGAGTGATTCTAATTTATGTTTTGAACTATGGAAGTGTGTGTTTTCTTCTTATATTTATTTTGCTGTTTATTTTGTACCATTCAGAATCACACAGAGCATCAATACCATTATGAAAGGCAAAAGACAAGCGCTTGTCCTTTCATTCATTGCATTTTATTTGGATTATGTTCTTTTGATTACATTTTAATTCTAAAATTAGATTCTAGATGGAGGTTCATATTCCTTTATTTGCCACTCTCTTCAGTTAGACATATTACTGAATCTCACGGTCTGTAAGAATAAAAATTAAAGTCCAACAAATATAATTTAACCTAAAACTTTGGTAAAGTCTTTGTTCTCTCTCTCTCTCTCTCTCTCTCTCTCTCTTTCTCTCCATGGAATTTCCAGAACTATCTTAGTTTGTTAAAAATAGCATCACAAATATTGAAGTATTTATTTGATTTATTGGCCTAAGAGCTGAGACATTTTTATCAGTGAGTTGAAAGGCATATGTGTTATTTAGTCTTCTTTTTCCAACTAAGTTGAGAATAGTTTCCTAAAATCCTGAATTTTATTTAATTTAATGGAAATAATGAAAAGTTAGTGATTGAATTGCCTGGAAAAAGGGAAAATTACACAACTTGGTAGGGCACTGGTGAGTATTATTGTTGTTCTGTTTTCTTTTAATTGAAATTGCAGAATTTGGGTGTCAATTTGGAACTTCCCTATAGACTCTATCCTGGGCCACCCAGCAGGCTTGAATTATTGGAACAGTTATCTGCAGTCGCAACTATATGAATACATTTTATGTTGTCACATGTGAAATATTTATGTGTAAATAAGAAATAGCAAAAAAAAAAATAGAGATAGAATAAAATAAAGCTCCAAATGAAAATCTAGATAGAATCTACTTCATCAGAAAATTAAAAGAGAAACTTCAACTCCAAGAAACTCAGCTATAAAAATTATAAAACAGTATTTCTAAGTGAAAATGAGAAAACAGCACTCTTCTAGAATTTCTGAAATAAAGATAAAGAGATTTGAAGATCAAAATATATTCTCTAATTTTGTAAAAAAGATTTTTCTTTTCATCCACTGACATTCTGGCTCAGCAGTCTGTGTTGAGATCTGGTGATATATAGATTTCACAGCGGATTAGGTGACAGAGTTGGAAAACACTGCTTCATGTGAATAACTTTATAACTGAATACCTTCATGGATTTTTCTGAATTTCTCTATTTGTTAACCATTTATCCATAAATAGCTACAATTTTTATGAATAAAATATTACACGAACAAAAGTGTACTTTAATTTTTGAAGTTTTGATACTTTCTTCATAACACAAATACAGGTGAGAACTGTTAGATTCCAGGAACATCAACAAGATCTTCTGTAACCTTTTTGTTTGTTTGTTTGTTTTTGTTGAGTCAAAAAGATGGAAACTTAAATTACTTACTTTATAATTTGAAAATGCCTGAATCAACTCTCTTTTCTAGTCAACCTTCTGTATACTCTGCTAGTTCAACAAAAGGCATTTACTTCTTGGAAGTTAGAAGAGCCATTCAGTTCAGCAATTGCAATACTTAAAGAAAAACTCACTTAAAAGATGCATTCAACATGAAAGTAGAAGGGAGGCTATTAGGGAAGTCAAAGAGGAGAGTCAAAGAGATTAGGAGGAGGGATATGATGGAAGCATGTTACATGAAGGTATGGAAATGTCATGGGGAAACACATTAATGTGTTCAACTATCATGTAATAATTATAATAAAAATGTGTGTGTAACTCCATAAGACCTTTAACAAATATAACTTATAGGCATATTTGTATTGTGGTCCAGTTTCACCAGCGTCAACATCCATGGAAATACTATCGAAATGCAGAATTTCTAGCCCATGACAGACCTTCTGAATCAAAACTTGCACTTTGACAATGTCCTTTGGTAATTCAAATGCACGTTACTGCTTAACAAATTCTGCTTCTGAGTATGTTGGAAGAAACCTGCCCCCTTAGAGAGCACACCTCCCAAATTTGTACTCTTACCCTATCGGGTCTAAGGGAGGAAGCTACTTGGTGCTGGAAATAACATTCAAATTATTAAGCCATTTTAACTGATAATAGAATAAATACCCTTAAACATAAAAGTGAGTCTTGGTACTTAAGTAAAATATGTCTTGTACAGTCACATCATCTATCTCAGAACAATCTAATGAAGCTGAATTAATTTATTCCATATGCTGATTGATCCTGTCTTATGAGAACACCTGTGAGTTGGAAAACATTGTTCTTTCTAAGCAATAATCTGGCAACAGCCTTGGTAATTCACGGATGACTGGGCTTTAGAGCTCCACAAACAATAGAGGAGAAAAGGAACTGTATATAGATGTGAACTGAAGCCTCGTGCTTGCATAATCATATTTCCTATTGATGAATAACTAAAATTTCTTGGACTGTGTTACGATAGATGCAAGAAATCTGGGGCAATCAGAGAAGTTGATTCATCTTTTTTCTTCTCTGTCCTCCTGCCCATTTATATTTCTCACAAAGGTTGCCCTAAGCTTTTGCTGGGGAGCAATAATGTTGTAATTCTTGCAGTGGGATAAAGATTAGGAGCATGCTAGCAAATATTCTTTTCTCCCCCAACTAGATTGCAGTAAGGACCGAAAAGAAAAATAGCAAATTCTACCTTTAAATATTACACCTCCAATTTCTCTTCTAACTCAATGTGAAAATCCTATTATCTGGGTTAGGAGACTGTAAAGACTTGAGCCTTATCTGTCAGAAAACAGAAAGCACTCATATATCTGCAGTTCAAGGAGGCTTAAAAGGTTGTGACCAGTAGAACTAGAAGAGAACCATGGATATCCACTAAATATATCAGCAAGTTAAAGTTCTTCCACAGTGAGGAACAAAGCTAGTCCTGACAATGAAGAATATTCTAAAATAAAATTTGAGAAGTGATTGAAGCCAAATTGATGATCTTTATCACAAGTAATTGTTGCAATTTTGCTTTCCAGTGTGTATGTACAGAGAACCATCGCTACATGAAATTGGAGAAAAACAAGGGCGTTCGAGGAAAAGTTCTGGAACACCAACCATGAACGGAGGCAAAGTCGTCAATCAAGATTCAACATAGCCGAGAACTCTTTCCTTCTTCCCTCCGTCATCCCTTCTCCTTCCCTTCCTCTTCCTCATTTCCTTCCAATAAATCCACCCAAGGAGAGAAAAATAAAATGGAAACGGAGGACCTAGTAGCTAAGATTCTGCCCTTAAGGTTTCCCTTTGTGTAGGAAAAGAAAGTTGAACCAAAGCTTGCCTGTTGCGATGTGGTAGAAAATTCACATGCACAAAGATTAGCACAAATAAAAGCAAAGGAAAAAAAATAAATCGGAACTCCACAAACAGCAATTAAAACTATTGTTATTACTAGAGGGCTAACTGTAATGAATGCATTAGTATAATAAAGACGAAATGAAGTTATTAAGAAGGAAAAGGTTGAGAAGAATTAAACTTACAGATTGATGTTAGACTCTAGCTTAAACTACGGATAATGCTGTGATGTGTGGCTTTGTTTGATTTTGTATTTCCTTTGGGCATCTGGAATTAACACAATTAACAAAAAATCCTGTTTCCAGGATTTTTTTAAACCATGAAACTAAATATGTATGAATTACACTCTTGTAATGCTTATACAGTATGTAGCCAGAAACCATTTAACATCAAGAAACACTTAAAAAAATTACTCTTGAAACTGTTTAGATTTCTTTTTCAAATGAATACTCTTGTGTTGAATCTAATGGTATTTGATGATTTAGTTCCTTCATAAAATGTTTCAGATTCTCCTAAGAGATATCATATTTTTATCAAAGGTATATATCCAGGATATCATTTTTTTCAGTCATTTATAAAAGAAGTCATTGTCATAATGCTGAGGTAACTTTGGTGCATTCTAGGTCATTACTATGTTCAGACAGTGAGGCATAAGTTACTTGGCCTTATCGTTTGAGCTTATTTTCTCCTTTGCAGACTCATTTGAGAGAACCATGTGTATGTCTAGCTGTCTTAGAGAATTTTGTACCATATCTTGCAGCAGAAAAGGAGGAAGATAGGTTTTACATAAGCAAATAAGTCTGAGGAACTGTAAAGAAAAGTGTATTTGCCTTTGTACTCTGCTGGAGTTTTGTGTACAGAGGATTTCCAAACTCTGTGGAAAATCTGGAGACCTGGTTGTGAAATTCCTATATTAGTATCTTATGAAGCCAATGGATTTTTGTTGATATATATCCTCATGTATAAGTCTAGTTGAAAGAAGGTCCTAGTGCCACATGAATTTTTAAGGGCAGGTAGAAATTATATGGGATTAGCAACTATGACTCCAACAGACAGGGTTGTGTGAGTGGCCTAAAGTAGTGGAAAAGAACTCAGTGTAGAAGCAAGCAAGCACCCAGTAATACCAAGGTATTAGAAAAATACTAGCAAAGAAATGAATGTTATGCAATTACATTGAAATAAAAAAGATCTACTTAGCCCTACAAATCAGGAATGGTATAGAAACATCCAAATTCAAGCAAAATAAAACAAAACAGAATGTTTAAAATGTATGCAGATTTATGGGTATTATTAATTTAAGAAGACTAGCATGTAACTTCTCCTATATCTCTACTGTCCAGCATGTATTGTTCAAAATATGACTACCTAAAATATATACACTTTGCAGCCGCTCTAGGCCCTCACATTCAACCTTGCCATTGGTTGCTATATTCTTTCAAGGTCAAAATAGTTTCCTTCACTCTACACATTCATCATTCTTCAATAGTGGTTCCTGTCCTTCACCAAGTATCTTCCTTAATGTTATCAGGAGGAATGTTATCAGGAGGTTAGTAAAAACACAAATGGAGTAATTTGGCTAATAAATTGGGAAGAATAAACATTATGCACACATCTAGGCAGAGATTTTGAACACATATTTATGAGAGATACTTATTAAATCAAAATAACTGGAAAGTTACAAATAAATACATTTAGATTTTTAAAACAAATGAACAAACAAAGAATCTTATTCTTCCAGGGGGAAAAAACTACCCTTGGAAAAAAATAAAGATCTGGTTATATTTTCTTTGTCACTCTGGATTGAACTTGATTATAAATACACCTATAACTTCCAGGACCCAACAAATCCCAAGCACAAGGCCTTATTTTTTAAAAAAAGAATAAAAAGAAGCTTAGACAAATGGGTCACAGGCTCTTTTAGTATGAAATGAGTGGAGCTTTTGTGGTGATGCACACATACCCCTAACACAACTGATGGTTTCACAAGTAACACAACTGATAAAACGCACAATCATCAATTACACTGATGCATGACCGAGTATATTTAACCCAGTTAATTCTGAAAAGATATGAGAGACGAGGATCCAGTGAAATCTCTGCCTCTGTTTTCAGTGAGTGTCTGTCATTTAACATTTACACTCATATTTCTCCTTCCTGAAAGCAATTAAGAAGGCTCATTCAAGCTGGGGATATAGTTCAGTGGGAGAGGACTTTTTTGTCATGCAGGAAACCCTGGTTTCAGTCCCCAGTACTGGGAAAAAAAAAAAAAGGAATCTTCTAACCACCTAATCTATGTATTTTCTCCTTATGTGTTGAGTAAATATTCTCTGCTGAGAAATGTTTTGGAAATTAGCTTTGTTTTATTTACAGCACATTTCAGAGAATCCATTGGAAACTTCGTATTTCTTTACACATATGCCTGACAAAAATTATGGTCCAGAGCAGAGTAAATTTTTGCCTAACTGCAGCTTACTTTTTAAATACATTTAGATCTTTAATAGAGTCAGTATTCATTATGTTTCTAAAAATATTACCAAATATAAACATATAATTATCCAATTCCCTCCAAAAATGCGAATCAGTTTTAATATTTTGTTTTTCAGGTTTACTATAATATAATATTTTACTTTGATTTTCATGTTCTAATTTCTGGGTCTTAAACTTATCTACCACATATTCTCTTTTAAGTGGAATAAACTTTTTTGAAATGCACTGAAATATTCCCAGGAAAAATATGATTTTTAGTAAAGCTTTTATATTAGCTCTGTAAATTCACATGAAGGCATGGTTACTCTAAGAGTCTCCAGTGCAATGTGTTTCAAACTCAGTAGGTTTGAAAATGAAAATACTTTTGAGACTCTCTCAAAATAGCTTTCTGGTCAACATACTTTATTTTTAAACTAGACGTTTGAGATGCAGAAAGAAAAGGTGCTCTGTTCCCTTTGTTTCAGAGGTTTTTGCGTTTTGGAGAAACGGAACTCTCCTATTCTTGGCCATGTTAATAGCTTTGGCTTTGAAGTATACACATGAAATTCATAACACATTTTTACCATCATGAACTGGCATAATAAAGAGACATCAGTATAATGCAATGCGATTCTTTGGGAGCCTCTTTCTCATTCAGAAAACATGTCTAAAGAACCCTTTACTTAAGAAAACTACAACATTGTAGCTAAATAGTCTAGATTGGTGGCATTGAGGTGCCACTAGTGAGAAATGAGTATATTAAAACAAGTAAAGGAAGAATGGTCTGATTGTTGTGTATTAAAAATTTGAAGGTCCTAATATAGGGCCACTGGTTTTTTGGTGAAGAAGAATGACTATATCAACAGTAATTTTTTAAACATAGACCCAGAAATAGCAAATCTATCCCCCAAGCCCCACTCATGGTTTAGTCTACAAGGCCTTGCTCTTGAGAAAGTTTTCCATGATATTGCTTAATTTCATCTGCACAAGGTGAGACAGTCAAATAAAAATTCCCTGTTCGTTTTACTACCCTTAAAGGCTGAGGTTATTTCTCTGTCATAAAACTGTAAATAGCATTTTTTAAGTCACAATCACATTTAAAACAGTGGATTGTTCTACAAATATATATGTGTATATATACATATGCTTCTGAAATGGGGATATATTATATAGAGTTTATATTTGATTTGTGGTCTTTAGTCATAGGTAATCAAAATAAAGGGATTTGAATGCAAAACTTTATATCTAAATGTATATTTCTAAAGACAGTGCAAATTGTCACTTTATATTGTAAAAGAAACACATGGGAACAATGATCAAAGCACATACTCCTTTGGAAGTTCAGTGATTTCTAACCCCCTCTTTGATGCAGAGATAATTATTTTTATTTTTAAAAAATTATCTTAAAAAGCTATACTCCCCAGTACAGATCCTATGATAAGTCATATCAGATTGAAAATTTATGGTTAAATGTCTGAAAAATGAAGTTCATGTCGATCTCTATCTATCAGGAATTTTCTGGAGCCCAAGTGAAAAATTCAATGTTTAAATCCAAATTGAGTGAAACTTAACTAATGTTTTGGGATGATATATTGAACTTCAGTAACAAAAAGAAGTAAAAATAAGAATGTTTATCATAATCATAGCATTAAAATAATGTTATAAACAACATTGCATCATTAAATGTTTTGTTAGTTTCAGAGAATGAGCTGATGTTTGTCTTTGCTCCAAGCCCAATTTAAAGACAGTGGCATTCATTTTATTTGAAGTTGTTCAAAAGGTCCACAGTATATTCCCATAAGTAGAATTGGTACTAGTTCCATTTCAAGGTTAAATATTACAATCTTAAGAAATTATTGACACTGAAATGTTTAATAAACATGTTACATGAGAAACTAAGCAAATTGGTTCATTTTTGCATTGAAGCACAGATTATTTAAATCATTGTTTTTAGATCAGATTTGTAAAATGTTTATACATCACAACCTTCCTGGAGTGAAAAGGAATTAAAGTCTTGAGATACTCATGCATGTAGACACTTTTTTTTTAAACATTAAACTTATTTGAGAAGTCTCTCTTGTTTTTAAATGTGTGTCTATCCTACAGTGCATTACTAGAAAAAAAAATGTTGTGTCTTATATAAAAATGATCAAAGATGGATTTACAGATGGGACCTAAGTCAAATTTTATTGAGCAGCCAAAAGTAAACATTATATAAATCCACTTTGTGGTAACCTGGCATGTTACCTTATGAGGATTAAGAGCTAGAGTGTGTTCATTTTTCCTATTATTTATAGTTTACCAACTAGACACCTGATTGAGTTTGGGAATTGTAAATCAAATTACAGTCTGCAAAATTGTAAGGAAGGCAGACATATAAATAAATAATGGAATATCCTAAAGTTCATATTACAATAAATAACTTAACAAGAATTCATATGCCACTGACCCTGAAAAAATAAAACATAGAGGGAAGACAGGGATTGTAAAGGAGAACATATTTCTCTGTAGTAAAGCAAACATGAGGCCCTAAAATAGAGGAAATAGTTTGAATAAAAGATATGCATTGATGAGAAATGATTTATTTGGAAAAAATTATGAATAAAACAAAAGAAAATACTCAGAAGAGGAGGTAGCAAAAACTGAGTTGAGATAAACACAAACCAAAGTTTACTCCACATTTTGTCAATGCAGTCTTGAAATCTGAGTCTTTTTCATTTGTCAGGATGCTTCTGGTTGCTCACAAAGAATCCCTAAAACTGATTCTTCATTGAGCAGTTAATTACATCACCACTGAAATTTAACTTGTCTATATTTCTCTCAGCTCTCTTCACCTCCATGTATAACTTCCCTTTTTAAATTCAGAAATGCTTTTAGAAGTTGCTGAAACTGAACATTTTTACCACCTATCTCTTCTTAGTAATCCTTCAGAAAGCATCTCATATCTCACTGGCTTAATTTGGATTATGTGTGTATACCTCAATGAATCATCATGGCCAGGAATTTGAGATATGTTGACAGTTTAAGTGAGCAAAGGCCTTTTCCAACACCAGAGAGTTAACCGTCATAGCCAAAGATACAATTCCCCAGTCATTGCTAAATGTCTGCTATTCAGAAGGTAATATGTGGGTGATTGAAAAAGAGATAAACAAGTACAACTTTAAAGCAAAGTGTTAATTCTTGGTCAGCCAATCTAGCTAAGGGATTGGTCTGATCAAGAATGAATATAACTTATAAAGTACAGCCAGATTAGCTGGGATGTGGGATTCTTACATAGCTAAGTGTAAAAATGAATATAATAAAAAGAAAGACTAAAAACAGAATTAGAACAGCAAGTAAGAAAATAGGAAAAACACAAATGTAAATTTACTTGAGAGATCTGTGAGGTATCATTTTTTTTTTTTAAAGGAAAGGCAGTACATTTGACAACTCAACAAATCTGGCCTGTCCCTTGGTTTTAGATGACTATCATAGAAGGAGCTAGAAAGTATAGCTTGAGTCCTCTAGATCAGAAGTTTTTGATTATAAAACATTGCCCTAGCAATTTTTTAATTACCTACAATAGCACTGCTATGATTAGTTCATCACAAAGTACTTTTCAAAATATCACACCAATAAGTAATTATAGGTTCTAAACTACATTCGGGGCTATATGAAGCAATGAAATCATTTCAGTCAGCAATATATGTTTTTCTTGAATCTTCTCTCCAGATAATAGTGTATGTGTGAACACTCTGGATGATAATAAATATGTCAACCTCCCAAAGCAGCAAATTCCATGTGTGCAGTACTGGTTTTATATTTCTGTTAGCGTCAAATCCATGGACCAACTTCTTCCAAACAATTTGCTTGATTCTCCACTGACTTCCATCTTTGTTTTTTGGAGGTGAACTAACACATTTTATTTGAAAGTAATATGCAACTTCTAATCACAAGCTTTCACAATTAGTTTTCTTAAGAGATTAAAACATGATCAGTATTGTCATATTATTTTCCCAAACCTTTTGACAGACTTGCCTAAAAGGCAGCACATTTCAATTGCTGTGCTATATCTCTCATATTCAAACTCAGGTATTATAGCTGCCTACCAATTGCAATTTGCTGTCCTTAAAAATATGCCTCTGGTCGAGAGAATCACATGCACACACATACACACACAAACACACACTCAGAGAAAATACAGTAAGAGAAAGTTTTTATTATATGAACTGCATGTTAACCTATGCATTCTTTGTCTCTTTCAATTCTATTTTCATTTCTTCCTCTTTTTGCTGCATTTTCAGATTGTCCTCCTGCACGGACTGGCTTAGCTCTGAACTAGTTTATGATTTTTTCCTCATTTTCTGAGTTGATCTTGTTGTGACTGTAGCTTCATCTTAGAAATTCATCTCAAACTAGATCTGCTTGGCATATCACCTTAATCACTGGGAAAACAGTAGGTTAAATGAGTTAGGAGGCTTTAAAAAATGTGTTGACAAATCTAAATGCAAGTGTTTCAGATATTACTTGGGCCATTAGAAAACATAAGGGTCCAAGTCCCTTTCATTCACAGTTCTAGGCATCATGTCCAAATTTGCAACACAGGAAGAAAGCCAACAGGGATAAGCAGAAATGGTAACCCTACCAGGAAACGACCCTTCCCAGGAACCATTAGCTTACGTTTCACTGACCAGAACACTGACCAGCATGGAAGGGAGAGGAGTTGATATTGGGTAAGGAATTAGAAGACCCTGTCACAAAACATGAACTGTCCTTGAGGTTTATACTGGACATAACCACATCCCTTTTATCTAGCACATTCTGCTGTTCTGGGGACTTACTTCACTGATGGCAACACCAAGCTATGAAGTATAGCTCTTCAGGACAATTGCTTTTCTAAGCAATTATCCTGAGCATTGTTATTCCTGATCTCCTGTATAACAGGGAAGGAAAAGTGTTTACAAACTATATGCTGTTGAGTGTTCCTTACAAGAAAACAATGACAGACACACTGGGGCTATGAGGAGATGAGTTCTTTCTTCCAGCACTGTGGGTCAGAATGGAATTATTCCCTAAATAATGTCCAAGCTTACCCTGCAGTGACCTAGCATAAAGTCTGTTGGCTCAGTATAGCCAGTTAACTGGGATTAATGGCCATATAAAACCTCTATGCAGTGGTCCCACTGAGGTGCAGCTCCATTCACACCATCAATCGTAGACAGTGTTCTCACATTTCAGTCCACATGAGAACTAACCATGGGATTATAGACAAGAATGACATGGGCATGGATGGACAACCAAGTCTCCATCTTCAAAGTGAGAGCTATTTCTAATCTGACAGAGTAATTGATAATGACCTCTTAGAACAGAGCTAGCGTGGTCTGTGAATTTACAGGTCGCTGTCCACCTCAAAGATACAGAGTATGTAGATATCTGAAACTTGGTCAAGAAGTAAGAATTGAAGGCATGAGCTCATCCCGATTTCTTACTGTTTACATCACCACTTCCTTGCCTCTTCATCTAGGGTCAGGATCTGGGCAAGTATAGATATTGCTTTCCCAGGTGAAGCATTCAAAGAAGAAAATCATCATTAAAAATACGTAGAATAATTTCATTTCAACCTTCACTGTTTTTTTAAGTAAACTAAAAGTAATTGGTTATTTCAGCCTCAATATAATTATTTATATAGTTAGCAGATAGATTTAATTCTTATTATTATTTGGACCATATTCAGTGGGTCTGAACATTGAGCACATATTACCATTATCTGAGAACTTCTAAAATGTTTAAAATAGGTATCAAAAAATCATGATGTAATTGGCTCAAGGAAAGGTGATTCTCATCTTCAAACATTAAAGTCTCCTAATAAGTCATGGGTAGTATTTATTAAGTGTTATTCAAGGTTACAGTATTCTAGCTTTTCAGGGAATCTGTAAATTGTAGTCTATAAGGATTAGGAGTAGAAGACTCCCTTTCTGCCAAAGCTTAAGTAACTTCAATAACAGGAGATATTAGTGCTAAATCTCTAAATGTTCATGCCATACTCCAGTATTTTACCTAATCCCCTGGATGCAATAGCATGATTTACTTAAAGATTTTTTTGACATGGAACTTAGACTTCTATTAAGCTCTTGCCTGAATTTCAAATCGATTCAAGGACAATTTCTTCCACCTGACACCAGAGAGACATTTATTTAAGGAGCTCCATTATGTGAGTGCTTACTTTATGCATAAAATATTTGGAGCTGGATGACGTTAATAAGTATACCTGCTTCATTGAAATAATAGCCTCTGAAATCATTAAGGGCATCCATTATGAATCTAGACTTTTACAGAAAACCAGGTTTATTTCTCATTTCTTTTATCAGAGTTCACAATGATACTTTGCATAGGGAGAACAGACTTCTGTTTTATGTGGAAAGGAATTCACTCTCCCCTGACTGCACAGTCTTGGCTATGTGGCTTCTTAGCTTATGCTAATTTATTCCCTTGGATCTAAATGCCCATTCCCAAGATAGAATTAATTTATAATAGGTTTTTTTCCTACACTTTCACTCAGAGCCCTTCCCCTGCAAGAACAATTGTCACTCTGGTATATTCTTCTCTATCCAACACCACATTTTAGAAATCAAAGGTGACATCTGACTCTTACTCTATATACACTAACTGATCTAATCACAAGCAAGAAAAGAAAAATCTCTGTCTATCAGAAAGCTAGGTAACCCAAAGTTGTGTTTCTGCAATTTATAGTGTGAGTCCATTTACCCTTTATATCTTCAGTGCTTGATTTTATTTTTTGCAGCAAAAACACAGCTTGTCTCATAAACCTCCTTGACTTATCCCAATGATCGAGGAGGTAGAGTTAGAAATTTAGTATAGGTTGTCCTGATTTCCAGTGCTCAGAACCTGCTGGATGCAAGATGTAAGCATCAAAAGATTACATGCGTAAATGGCTCTGCTTCACTGCCTTTATCAGAATGGGACCTGTCAATCAGGAAAATCTGTGGAAACTTGGTCACTTTTTCCCCAGGAGGAAATGGCTGGAAATTGGATCAGACCTCATATAATGGGCAATTTGTGCATGAATTTGACTG